CAATACCTCCCAAATTTTATGGTGATGCTTGTATAACCCTGTAAATATACTAAAAACCACTCAATTGTACACCTTAACTGGGTGAATTGAATGGTATGGGAATTATATCAGACTAAACCTATTTTTAAAAGTACTATCTAGCCCTAGCTGGTGTGGCTCAGTGGATTGAGCACCAGCCTGTACACCAAAAGGTTGCTGGTTTGATTCCGAGTGCAGGGCACATGCCTGGGTTGCAGGCCAGGTCCCCAGTCTGGGGCGCATGAAATGCAACTACACATTGGTGTTTCTCTCTCTCTCTTTCTCCCTCCCTTCCCTTCTCTAAAACTAAATAAATATTTTAAAAAACAAAATAAAAGCACTGTCTAATATGAACAGGTCAAAGGCACCTGGTTAACTTAGTATAGCAAGAGACTATATGTAAGAGGTTAATTGTCAATTATAGACCTGAGAGGAAGGGGATGACTGCTTAGATTACTTATCTGATTGTTAAAGAATAGTCCTTATCGAGTCCAGAGAAAGGTATAGATTTCAGATAGGGACGCTGGTAACTCCAAACAGTTTTAATTCCCTTAGGCCAACACTTGACCAGGAGAGATGGCTGCACAGCATAGACACAAGTAATCCTAATCAACCCAATTTATTGCTCCTACACTCTGCTATCTCAGGCCACCCACCCCTCTCCTGAACTGCTCCTGAACTGTACTGATGCCTCTGAATACACCAAAAGTTATCTAATCTGTCCCAATTTCATACTTTCAAGTAGGTGGCTGCATAATATCATCCTTCACAGGTAGAAAAATAATATTCCTCAAGCAGGGACTGTTTGCATGGCACTGACTCATTTACTTCTTACAAGAGTATTATTAAATACATAGTAACAGCTCTGGCTGGTATACCTCAGTGGATTGAGAGCTGGTCTGCAAACCAAAGTTTTGCCAGTTCAGTCTCCAGTCAGAGCACATACGTGGGTTGCAGGCCACGTCCCCAGTTAGGGGGTGCTCAAGAGGCAACCACACATTGATGTTTCTCTCCCTCTCTTTCTCTCTTCCTTCCTCTCTCTCTAAAAATAAATAAACTTTTTAAATTAATATGTAGTAATATTCTCATTGTCATTTTACAAATAGACTGAGGCATGGAATGTTTAGGTAATCTGGCCAAAATCACAGAGCTATTCAGTGGCATTGCAGGGATTTAAAACCAGGCTGATGCCAACAACAATGTGCTTAACCAATATGCCATTTGGTGTTCTAAGAAAAGCCACTTCATGCCCTTACCAGTCACATTCTCCATTTTTTGCACATGTGCAATTATCTAGTAAAGAGTATTTCTGTGTCTTATTCACCTGATTCCCACTTGTTCCTGCAAATATACTTTCCCTTAGGTTCAGATTCACTGCTCTGACCAATCAGATCCCAACATTCTTTTCTACATTATCAGTTTACTCAGTCTCCCACCCTAGTATCACATCAATAAAACTGAACAAAATTGTGTGTAATCATTCAGCACAAAACTCTGAGCTTTTCCTCCATCTCTAGCTCAGCTATTCCTTTTTTTCCCCTTTACCTGGAAGGGTGTAGGGGTGCAGAATGACACCTACTTCACTCACACATGCTGGTGAACGTGATTAAACACAGAGGGAAGCAGAGTCCCTTTTGAGAGTTCGGAGCTAAATAGATAAATTGTATTGAAAAACATTTGAAAACTTGTAAACAATGTCAAGAGCCCTAATGCTTTTTCAGAGACAGAAAAGTAAAGTGTAAAAGATGAAAATAGTTTGGATCTGTCCAGAGCTCTTTTTGGACACGTGAGTAACTGTCTGCCTGGGGATGTAGCCACAAACAACCCTCACTTCCAGAATGAGGTAACAAAAAAACTTTTAAATACATATTTTTAAATTATATTTTAGTTATATCAAAGCATCTTTCCCATGCACTTATGCATGTGCCTGTTGTGCTCGATGCCGAAACATTCTGAGAGTCAGTCTGTGAACATTTGGCTCACTCCCTCCACAGTAAGGAGTCAAGTCAGTCTGAAGAACCCCTTGGGTCCCTTATGTGTCATCTATCACATTTTTATAAGGTAAATTCTTTTTTCTAAGATTTATTTTTAGACAGAGGGGAAGGGAGGAAGAGAGGGAGAGAAACATCAATGTGTGGTTGCCTGCCTATAGCGAACCCCTTAATGGGAACCCGGTCTGCAGCCCTGGCATGTGCCCTACTTGGGAATTAAACCGATGACCTTTTGGTTCACAGGCCAGCGCTCAATCTGCTGAGCCACACCAGCCAGGCCTAATCGGGTAACTTCTTGACCTCCTCTGATTTCTGCGCCCTGAGTACCTGACACAGCGCCATGTGCAGCACAGGAGGAGATGAGCTGATGGAGGAGACTGAACGGCAAGCTCAGTGCGCAGGGCCTGACGGGCCAAGAGAGGGACACAGGACTAAGGTAATGGGAAGCCACGGAAGGGCTTTAAGCAAAGGATTCCGATAAAACCTGAGTTTTCCGAGGACCACTTTGGAAGCTGGTTTGGAGAGGAGAATGACGTAGAGGCCGCCGCAGCCAGAGACAAAGGCAGTGCCGGGCAGGGTGCTCGTAGCGGCCCGGACGGCGAGGAGGGAACTTGCACCGCTGGGTTTGGAAAGGACCTCTACGTCCTCTTCCGGACTTACCCACTTTGGGACCGAGCCGCCGAGGAGTAAGCTCCTGCTCCGCACGGGCTGGAGTCGGGTGAGGAGGGGCAACCCCCTACATCTGCGCCCCAGGCTCTGGCCTGCACTCGCGCCGCGCCACTCCACGCCAAGGGATATGAAAAGTATCCCTTTTCGATACTCAACACTCCTGTAGTCCCTGGCACTGTTGTCCCACAGCAGTAGCCACTCCTCATAGCCATTGGACAGCTCATATCCTTTGGGGTTCTGGAACCAATAAGGGAATGCTTCACGGAAGAGACTTTCACCTGCTCTGGTCCCTAAAGGGCAGGTGTAAATGGAGGGAACAAACATTCCAAATAAGCATAGCATAAACAAACGCTTGAATAGTAGTGTGTCTAAAACCAAGGGCAGTTGATGGCTGTAATCCCAGTCCCATTAGCTGTGTCATCATGGCCAATTTACTTAACCTCTTCGAACTTCTGTTTAAATTTTTTAAAAATTTAGGTAATATTTCCCTCTCCAGAGGTTGTGAAGATTGAATGAAATCATATATAAACACCAGACACATTCGAAACTTTCGATCAAGTAAAGCAATCACCTATAAAGCAATAAACAGTCATTTTTTGACAAAAAGTAGTTGTTAACGCTGCCAATGTTGGTAAATAATGTAAAAGTATGGAAAGGTAAACTGAAACCAGAGCAAAGTAGGGATTTAAAGATTAGTAAAATTTTTGAAAAATGAGAATAATAAAATAAAAATTTGCATACCGAGGAAAGACAGAGAGGAGAGGGACAGAGACAGAGAGGTTAAAGAATCGGAAAAATTGGGCAAGTTACTTGAAACTCCTCTGTAATTCATTATTCGTTTATTGTCTAACATTCCTATTACACTGTGAGTTTCATGAGCTATGGATCATGTCTATTTTGTTCACCACTCTATATTTAGAAACTTGTACACTGTCTGGCCCATAGTATGCACTTAATAAATATTTGTTGAATTAATGAAGAAATCATGATATTAGGGGGGATCGAAAAAAAAAGATTCCAAGAGTATAAGTATAGTTGACGAAAAGAATACATAGGATTGTTTAGCGCAGAGGAAACAATGAGTTTAAATTTCAAACTGTTACGAGAAGCCTGTAGTGCATTCTGTTGTTGAAATCGTAAGTGAAATCAGAGCTCAGAGCAGAGGTGGGGGCTGGAGTTGTGTTGTTTAGATTTATTAGCATACAAGGAATACTCGAGGTCACGTGGGAAGAAGGAGGTTTCAAGTAGAAACAACTCCCGGAAGTGACGCCAGTAAGAGCCGAGTTCGAGAGGGAAGAAGGTAGGAGCAGAAGAGCTGCAATTAGAATTAGGCAAAGGATAGGCAGCCGAGGCGCGGAGGGAAGAAAAGGTTAAGAAAATGAGACGATTTGGAAGAGACTGGAGTCAGGGACGCAGAGGAGGTTGCGGAGGAAGGCGTGACCATCATGAGGAGCCACGAGCTAACTTCCCAAGGTAAAACTATACAGACGTAATTGATTTGAATCCCCAGAAGTTATCGGCGGCTTTGAGATGAGCAGTTTTAAAGAATATACTGGGGAGTTAAGTCAGTTTTCAGCGCTAGTTACATTGCTTGAGTTTGTATCCTATTTTATGACCGAGGCAGGTTACTTACTCTGTGTCTTAACTGTAAAATGGAGATAATTACCTCAGAGTGTTGCTGTAACTAATACGTGCATATGGATTAAATGCTTAGGAAAAAAAACCATGTTCGTTGCCGCTAGTCAAAATCTTAGCTATTGTTAGCAAGTCGGCTATAAAGTGGGTGAATGGCGCCATATACTACTACTCAGTTTAGGTCTATAAGAATGGAGAAACTGAATGAGTCTTTTGAGCTGAATAGTGCAAAATCAAATAGGGAATTAGGAATACGACGGAGGTGCTGGGGTTAAATACGAGGATCGATTCTTTCCAGAATGTTCCAGAAGTCTCAACCGTTCTCTGCCAGTCATGCGCAGTATGATTGCGCGCGCTTCTTCAAGCTCCATCATTTTCCCGATAGGCTACAGATCCTGTTTGTCTTTCCTCGCGTTTCTCATTGGTCTTCAGCTAGCCTTGGCCTCGCCCCCTAAAGCAAGTAGGCCCCCCTGTTGGATCTTTTTAAGTAGTTCTTTTTTGTTTGTTTCTGGGCTTATGGATGGAAAAGTGGCTACTTTGGAGTATCTAGTTTACAAAAACAAGGTGATTTTTTTTTCCTTCTAAACTAAGTAACTATTAAGTGACTACATAAAGGCGATTGGGAGGGAGCAATCGGAAGTGAAGGGGAGTGGCTTAAGGTTGGAACGTCGGAATACTTTTAACTACGGACCGAGCTACTTCCGGGAGAGAATGGGCGGGGAAAGAGTTCCGTGTGTTTGGCGGGTTTCGCTATCTTCATTAGTATTTGGTCTTCCTACAGGCACAGGAGCCGGACCCGTGAGGAGGTGGTGACGCCGCCGCTGCCTGAACAGACTGTTTCGGGCTCCCCGATGGCCACGGCTGTGGTGAGTGCCGGGGCCGCGCGGCAGGGTGCCTGAACTCGGGCTTGGGCGGCTGGGGGCAAGGTCGCTGGTGGTTGCCGATCACGTGGTCAAGTAGCGAATCACGTCTTGGCCCGCCGGCACTAGGGCGGGGGTCCGCTCTCTGCGGACCCCTTCCATCCCTACGCTTGCCATTCCTGACGCCCAACTCCCGACCCCCTACTGCATGCAGCTGCGCAGCTTCTTTAGGATGCTGGAAAGGACCTTGAAAAGGAAGGTAGAGAGAGGCGGGCATGTTGGGGTCTGTTTATATCTCAGGATCTCTTAAGCTAGACATGAAACTAGTTTTCAATTAAAGTAAGTAGGCTCGGCTGGGTAAGTGACTGGCTAATACTTAATCTTCCCGCAAGAGAAAACCCCAACAGCGTTTCTTTTGTTCGGTTTTACAAATCTTTAAAAATGCCCGTGAATTTTTATGTAATGTGAGGAAGTTTCCGAAGAACGTAATTTTTCAAATAGTTCATTGAACTTTATTATTCCTTTTTTTTTTCATTCAGCAACTTTTGGTTTTGGTTATAACTTACCTCTTGAAAAGAGAACTCGGGGCTTTCCTGATTTATTTATTCAATGACAATTCCCGCACCCCCACCCCTTTTTTTAAAAATTCAGACTGCAACGTTTTTATTACGATGAATGTTTTGTAAAATATTGGAAGCCTAAGGTAAGTACTAAAGTACCAGTTTCCAAGTTAAGATTATAAATTTGTATTTGAAGTGAAAAAATATTAAAGTCACAAATGAGGGATGAGTATGTCCTAAAAATATGTACTCCAAAATAGTGAAAATTTTTTAAATTGGAAACTTTTGAGCCCTAAATCTTTAAAATGTCCAAATTTATATGGAAGAATGTGGACTCTGTATGAAACTACAAAGTGACTGAAATAAATCATCAGCTTCTGTTGGCGCTTTTGTGTTTGTGAGAATTTGGAGGTGGGTAGTAATGCACAATTCTTAAAAATGTTTTGTAGGATTTTAAAACCTATGTAGATCAGGCATGTAGAGCTGCTGAGGAATTTGTCAATATTTACTATGAAACAATGGACAAAAGAAGACGGGTGAGTGTTACAGGCTTTATTACTCTTTATTAAATACCAGTTCTTTTTTTTAAGCCAATTCGTCTGACTTGCAAAAGTGGTAACTGTGGGATTGTTTAATGGTGCATTGCTTAGGGAAGGATTGGTGTGGTATTATGGAAGTATGGACTCTGGAGTCATATACCAGCTTTGTGTTTACCTCTGACCTTTGGCAAGTTGCTGACGTCTCGTAACCCCTTTTTTATTTTTAGAGTGGTAAATGGGAATGAATTTAAATACTACAGTTAACATAAGACCCAATATATATTTATTTAAATATGTTATATTTTCTCAGTCTCAATTAACCCCAATTTGGTTAAAATAGTATTTGTGCTGGCGGAGAGGTCTGACATTACAAGGAATGTTTTCTGATTTGTACGTTTAATTGCATATATTAATAGGTAATTTTAATACTAAGTTTCATAGCTGTAGCTGGCACTCATAACCAGTATCCACATGGCGTGGATACTTAGAGTTTTCAAAAGAACAACTTACCACTTTGTCAGCTGTTTCCATTGTGATTTATCCCTGAGCCATATCTTCTAAGGAATTATTTCAGTATGTGCTCTAGTCTTCCCTAGATCTTATCAGCACAGGATTGTACTTTAGAGAACTTCTCTGTGCTGAAGGTACAGAAGTTAACATCTTATTTCTAAAAATCTGTTTTTTAAGACAGAAGGTAAAAGAATTTCCTGGTACTGATGTTTGATGGCATGACACAGGGACAAAGGATGTGACTGGATGTTTATTGTGCCTTGTTGCATTCAAAAATAAAGTAGCAAAGAGAAAGCAGAGTCAAGATATCTGTTGGCCAAGATAAATTTTAGAATTAAGCAAATGAGTCCTGTGACACACTAAACTGCTGTGACTATAAACAGTTAACTGTTGAATTTTACCTTATTGGAGCCTTACTTAGAAAAAACTGCTTTAGCAAGTACTGCAGATTCTTTGGACTTAAATATGCTGTTTGAGTAGTAAAAGGAACTAATTCTTCCTGATACATCCTTACAACATAAAATGGTTCAAACATGAAATTACTCCATGGATATAAACACCAGGATTGAAGTGTACAAGTAGGGCTTAATTGAAGACAACTTGTTAATTCTCAGAATTAGAAAAGGGAAGGAGGCTAAAACTGGTTAGTGTTCCAGATGCTTGAAATTTGTGATCATTTAAAATCATGTAAATACAGAAAGCAAAATTTTAAAATTCTCTTGCAGTTTGGAAGCAGAGTTTTCTTCTTACGGCTAAAGAGAAATATGAAAAAAGTATATTTAGCTGCCTAGTTTATTAAGAGTAGTATAATATCTAAGGACAGGGTTATAATGCAGAGACACCTGTTCACATAGTCTTTAGTGGAAGGGGGGCAGAGGAGTAGAGGTGGAGACAGAACTGTGAAAATGTTTATTTTATATACCACCTATAACCTTTCAGTCCCTACCTTCTCAGTTCCTTTCTGTAAAATGCCTTGCCAGAAACAAAAATACTTCTTTTTCTGTCTTTTCTTTTTTAGGCACTGACCAGGCTGTATCTTGACAAAGCCACTTTAATATGGAATGGGAATGTTGTTACAGGGCTGGAAGCCCTAGCTAATTTTTTTGATGTGTTGCCGTCGAGTGAATTCCAGGTTAATATGTTAGATTGCCAACCAGTTCACGGTAAGATCATGGTCATTCAAGGTACTTTGTTTGACGTTAGTGAGCACTGAGTTTTAACAGCGAAAGCAGCAAGCATCTATTACTGGTAGGAGTATATTTTTCTAAGTTAAATATTATGAAAAATTCAGCTCTAAAATTAAACTCTTGGAATTAGTTTAGATCTTTCTCACTCAAGCATATCACTAGTAGGTTTTGGTGGAATGTGTGATTATAGTTTATTAAAAGTTATGTGAGAAATTGAAGCTAAATGTGATTTTTGTTGATGGAGAGGAGAAATTAACTTTTTTTGTTCTAAATCGTTGCCTTCTATGCCTTGAAATGTCTCCAGAGAAAAAGTATACAAAAATCCCTGATTAATGTGTTTTATCATCCTACAACCTACTAAATTACTTTCTTAGAAATTTTTTTTGTTATTAATTGATTTGAGAAAAACATTGATTTGTTGTTCCACTTTTGTGTGCATTCATTGGTTGTTTCTTGTATGTGCTCTGACTAGGGATCAAACCCACAACCTTGGTGTATCTGGGCGATGCTCTAATCAACTGAGCTACCCAGCCAGGGTAAAACTTATTAAAATTTTGCAGAAGAAACTTTGTTATGTGAAAGAATGACTTTTGGCAAGACAGAATTAGAGTCAAGGTACAATGATGCCATTTATAAGATTAACCTCTAGGTGGGTCCTAAGTGTTTTAAGTAGTAGGTTAGCGTGTTTTCTTTTTCCTTTATGATTCTCAAAAGCAGCAGTAACTTAAGAAGCAAAATATGAAAAGGCTCTGTTAGAAACTGAATGAAATATAAATAAACACAGAAACTAAATGGTCCTGTGTTAGATATAATCTCTTTATTTTGTAACTTTAGAGTACTCAAAAATTTCCTGGGTGGAAAATAATTTCAGTGTCTTTAAAATGATTATTTAGTTTTTTTGGCTTTGGGTATGCATGCTTAAGAGTGTGCTCAAAGTAAAGAAAGTTGAGATTTTTTTAAGTGTTCAATTATAAGCAATCTATTTTAAGCTTGAAAATCTGCTTTTTTAGACATAGAAACCAATCTCTTCTTTTTTGTGTGTGTATGGATAAAGAGCAAGCTACTCAGGCCCAGACTACAGTTCTTGTTGTGACCAGTGGAACTGTGAAGTTTGATGGCAATAGACAGCACTTCTTCAATCAGAACTTCCTGCTAACTGCTCAGACTACTCCTAACAACACTGTGTGGAAGATTGCAAGTGATTGTTTCCGTTTTCAAGATTGGGCTAGTAGCTAAAGGGGCTGAAAGTCCATTCTCCTTGGGTTCATTAGTTTCAGCAACAATTTGTGTGAGTTAATTTCACTGAGGAAGCACGATTAACTAGTATGTTCTGTAACTAAATTTCATATATTTATAAAATATCTGGCAGCACCTTTTCTGGTGGCTGCCAGTTTGAGTTATTGCCCTTAAGAGCTTTAATGCTAGTGTTTTACATGCCTTACATACATTTCACTAATGACAGTCTTATAGTAATATTATAAACATGATCTCTGTATTAACATACTGTGAGCCCAGCCTATTGCAAAAATAAAATCCTTTTATAATACTGTCTACAGGATATCTGCACAATAAAACCGGGAGGAAGCGGAGTATTCTTTTTTATTAGGTTAATTTTGTAGTAGAACACACACCTATTTTCAGTAAACACTAGTAATACAGTTTTGGTATAAGGCTTTTTTGTATCAGTTTAGTGAAAATATTACTAATATTGGTTTGCATATTAGAATCACAGGTAGAGATATTCAGTGGTCTTTTTTCATGTTACGTAATGTTTTCTATGTTTACATATCCTTATTAAGTGAATTAATCTACTAGAGAGGTACAGCATGTTCTTAGTTGAGTACTGGATATACTTGGTGATTTAAAAGCAAAAGTTCTTAAAAAGATTTTCTTGGCAGCTCCAGGTTTATAACTTTAGGGAATGAATAGTAGTGGGACTAATAGCCTTAATAGGAGAATAGGCGGTGAGAAATACAGTGATCCACGGTTGGCCAAAAGTTATTAGGGTGGCTAAATTGTAAGTTTTTGGTACTTGTTTTCTACCTCCTAAAAATGTAGCCTATTTTTAGGGTTTAAGTCATTAAGGTAGTAAGTATCATTGCCAAATGGTCATGAGCGTCGCTTTTGTTCTAAAAATTATTTTTAAAGGTTTTTCCAGTTCACCTCATACTTAACACCAATATATGTCTCAGTTTATTTAAGAACTTAATGGGGATGAAACGTCAGCAATAAACCTTCCCTGTAGCAGGATGTGACAGGAAAGGTTCAAACAAAGCCATTGCTATCTCTTTGGGACATCCTTTACTTCTAAGTCTTCCATGTGAACTTCAGGCCAAAAGTATCCTATGTATTATCCACTCCCAAAGTAAGTGATTTCTTTCCTATGTTTTATATTGTGACCTGAATTATCTTTTACTCATTAAAGTTAAAATTGTTTAATTTTATGATTTGTTTTTCTATATGGCATTGTGAGCAAATAGCTTTGTTTTAAAACACATTGCAGTTAAACGGCTCTTTGTCTTTTTAACAAGAAAATAGCAGCAGATCTTAATTAGTCCATAAACTTTAAAAAAACAAATGTGATTCATTTTTATGTCTCAAAATCTAACATCTAAAGAGAAGGAAATACAGCTTTGGTTTTTGTTAAAACTTTAAATGTTTTTTCATTCTCGAATTTATTATTTAACGTTTTTAAGCTAGACGTGCCAGCTTTGTTTCTACATGGCGACTCAAAAGATAATGTTTCTTATCACTTCATTTGAAAACCAGTAATTCATTTACTTTCCTCTGAGACAACACATTGTATTTCTGATATATTATCAAATAGAATTAAATAGGAGAAGAAGGTAAAATTGAAGTTCAGACCACTCCTTCTTACAATAGTAATCAGATCTTATAGTTTATTCAAAATGAACTTATTCTGATACTGGATTGACTTTAAAAATGATAGCTTTAGCAGCACCGATCAGAATATGCAAACTGCCCTTTCGCTTGTGGAGAACAGTCTCAAGTAAAAGCTGCATATAACTAGCAATAAGTAAGTTGAGCGGTTGTATACTATTCATGAACTGAATGTTTTAGGACTTGTTTATGAACTGCTTTTTCCAAATTCTGTATAACTTTTAAATGGCTGGAACTACTCTTATATGGACTAGACTGTATTTTTGACATGCACATATTTTTGTAACTTGAAAAAAATAAAATTTGTCTTGACAAGTTTTCTCAAGCTTGTTTTAAGGTCTTTTGATTTTTTTTAATTTTGTTAAAATGTTTATATTTTTTTCCACTACCATTTATCCCCCTCACACCTGCGGTCACCACACTGTTGTCCATGTCCGTGAGTCCTTTCTTCTTCTTGCTCAATCTCTCCACCCTCTAACCCTGCCCCTCAGAGCTGTCTGCTTGCCCTCTATAAATGAGTCTATTTTTACAGGGTCCAGCAGAAGTAAGGTTTGCTTGAGTGTGGTGGTTGGAAAGGTACATGAAAGTCTCATGAGGTGGACAGCAGTTTGAACATTTCACCTAAAATGTCATATGCTATGCTTGAGTGTGATATTGCTACATTACAGAATTACATACTTAAGATTTGGTAGTAAAAGATTTTGTAATAAAAAGGGATGCTATTAGTGCTGGACCCTGTATTGTGTTAATTCAGCTTGTTCATCAGATACCACATATGAGTGAAATTACATGGTATTTGTCTCTCTCACTGGCTTGTTTGACTCAGCATGTTCTCCAGGTAAGTCTGTGGTGTCACAAAGGGTAAAATTTTCTTTTTTTACAGCCAAATAATATTCCATTGGTATATATACACTAGTTTTATCCACTCATCTACTGATGGACACTCGGGCTGCTTCCAGATCTTGGCGATTGCATATAACGCTGCAATGAACATAGGGGAGCTTACATTCTTTCAGATTACAGCAGTTCCATTATTTTTTGAGGTATCTCCATACTACTTTCCACAGTGGCTGCACCAATCTGGATTCCCACCAGCAGCACAGAAGAGTTCTTTCCCCACATCCTTGCTAGCATTTATTGGTACTACCAAATCCTGACAAGTGTGAGGTGAACTGTGGTTTTAATTTGCATTTCTCTGATGATGGGCAACATTAAGCATCTTTTCACATGCCAGTTGGCCATGTGTATGTCCTCTGGAGAAGTGTCTGTGTTTAGGTCCTTTACCCATTTTTTAATTGGATTGTTTGTGCTTTGTGTTTGTGTTGAGTTTTCTAAGTTCTTTACAAATTTTGATTGTTAACATCAGATGTATCAGGGAATAAGATCTCCAATTTAGTACACTGTTTTGTTGAAGTTTACTTTGCTGTGCAAAAAGTTTCTAGTTTGATGTAGTCCCATTTGTTTATTTTTTTTATTCCATTAGTTTTGTCTACATTTTCCCACCATTGCTTTCCCCTGCCCCACGCACTGCCACCTCCCTCCCTCAGTCCTTCCCCACCTCAGCTTTGTCCATGGGTTATTCATACATGTTCCTTGACTTGGCCCCTCTCCTTCCTTTCCCTGTTAATCCCCTCCCTCCTTATCTCATGTTACTATTGGTTTCTTTTTTCTTTCAGTTTTGCTGGTTATATTTTTCTTGCTTGTTTTCTTGATTAGGTTCCACTTGTAGGTGAGATCATATGGTGTTTGTCCTTCAGCCCCTGGCTTATTTCACTTAGCATAATGTTCTCTAGTTACATCCATGCTGTCTTGAAGGGGGTAGCGCTTCCTGCTGCATAGTATTCCATTGTGTAAATGTACCATAGCTTTTTGATCCACTCATTTACTGATGGGCACCAAGGCTGCTTCCAGTACTTGGCTATTGTAAAATGTGCTGCTCCAAACATTGGGGTATGTAGGTTCTTTTGAATTGGTGTTTTGACATTCTGAGGGTATAATCATTCTGAGGGAATTGCTGGGTCAAAAAGCAGTTCCACTTTTAGCTTTCTGAGGAAATTGAAAACTACTTTCCATAGTGGCTGCACCAGTCTGCATTCCCACCAATGGTGTACTAGGGTTCCCTTTTCTCCACCACCTCACCAGCACTTGTCTGTTGATTTATGGTGGCCATTCTGAGCAATGTGAAGTGGGATCTCATTGTGGTTTTAATTTGCATTTCTCTGATGGCTAGTGATGCTGAGCATCCTTTCATATGTCTGTGTCTGGCCCTATGTCCTCCTTGGAGATGTGCCTGTTCAGGTTCTTTGCCCATTTTTAAATTGGATTGTTTGTCTTCCTGGACTGGAGTCGTGTGAATTCTTCATGTATTTTGGAGATCAAACCCTTGTCCGACGTATCACTGGCAAATGCATTTTCCCATGTGGTTGGTTCCCTTTTCATTTTGCTGATGTTTTCTTTAGCCACGCAAAAGGTGCTTATTTTGATGAAGTCCCATTTGTTTTATTTTTTCCCTTATGTGTCCCTCTAAGGGACATATCGGTGAAAATTTGCTGCATGGGATAGCTGAGATTTCCCTCCCTATGTTCTCCTCTAGAACTTATGGTGCCGTGACATATTTAAGTCTTTTATCCATCTGGAGTTTATTTTTGTGTATGCTGTAAGTTGGTGGTCGAATTTCAATTTTTTGCATGTAGCTGTCCAGCGCTCTCAACACCATTTGTTGAAGAGGCTATTTTTATTCCATTTTATGCTTCTCCCCCCCTTTGTCGAATATCAATTGACCATAGAGACATCGGCTTATTTCTGGGCTCTCTACTCTATTCCATTTATCTATGTGTCTGTTCTTATGCCAATACCAGACTGTTTTGATTACGGTAGCCTTGTAATATAGTTTGATGTCACCTATTGTCATCCCACCAATTTTGTTCTTTTTTCTCAAAATTGCTGCAGCTGTGTGGGGTCGTTTCTGGTTCTGTATCAATTTTTTAAATGTTCTATATCTGTGAAATACGTCCTTGGTATTTTAATAGGGATTGCATTGAACCTATAAATAGCTTTGGGTAGTATGGACATTTTGGTTATGTTAATTCTTCCAATCCATGCACACGGTATATGCTTCCATTTATTTGTGTCTTCCTTGATTTCTTTCTTCAGTGTTGTGTAGTTTTGTGGGTACAGGTATTTTAACTTCCTTGGTTAAGTTTATTCCTACATACTTTATTTTCTTGTTGCTATAGGAAATGGGATTGTTTTCCTGACTTCCGATTCTGATATTTCATTGTCAATGTACAAAAAAGACTTCAATTTCTGAACATTGACTTTGTATCCCAATGTATGGCCAAATTCACTTAATAGGTCGAGTAGTTTTTTGGTGGAGTCTGGGGGGGTTTCTATGTACACTATCATGTCATCTGCAAACAGTGACAGTTTTATTTCCACTTTTCCAATTTGGATGCCTTTATTTTTTTTCTTGTCTCATCACTGTGGCTATGACTTCCAATACTATGTTGAATAGAATTGAGGAAAGTGTAAAACCTTGTCCTGTTCCCGATCTTAGTGGGAAAGCTTTTAGTTTTTGCCTATTGAGTATGAGGTTAGCATAGGTTTTTCATATATGACCTTTACTATATTGAGGTATGCCCCCTATATTCCCACTTTTCTGAGTGTTTTTACCATAAATGGATGCTGTACCTTATCGAATGCTTTTTCCGCATCTATTGATACGACCATGTGGTTTTTGTTTTTTACTTTATGTGATGTATTATGTTTATTGATTTGTGAATATTGAACCATTTTTGTATCCCTGGGATGAATCCCACTTGATCATGGTGGATGATCTTTTTAATGTATTGCTGGATGCAGTTTGCTAATTTTTTTTTTTTTTTGAGGATATTAGTATCTATGTTCATCAGCCATACTGGTCTGTAGTTTTCTTTCTTGTGTCTTTGTCTGGTTTTGGGATTAGGATAATTCTGGTCTCATAAAAAGAGTTTGGGAGTCTCCTCTCTTTTTGGATTTTTGGAATAGTCTGAGAAGGACAGGGATTAGCTCTTCCTTTAATGTTTTGTAAAATTCTCCTGTAAAACTGTCCAGAGCCTTTATTTGCCAGGAGTTAATTGATTATTGCTTCAATTTCACCAATTGTTACCAGTCTCTGCAGGTTTTCTACTGCTGCTTCGTTCAGTGTTGGAAGGTTATATTTTTCTAGAAATTTGTCCATTTCACCCAGGTTTTCAAATTTCTGGGCATATAATTGTTCACAGTAGTTTCTCACAATCCTTTGTATTTCTGTGGTATCAGTTGTGATTTCTCTTTCATTTCTGATATTATTTATTTGGGTCCTCTCCCTTTTTTTCTTGATGAGTCTGCCTAAAGAATTGTCGATATTGTTTATATTTTCAGAAACCATCTCCTGGGTTTGTTGGTCCTTTGAATAGTTCTTTTAGTTTCTATGTCATTCAATTCCACTCTGATCTTGATTATTCTCTTCCTTCTACTCACTCTGGGATTTGTTTGTTGTTGTTCTCCAGTTCTTGAAGCTGGAGAGAGAGGTGGTTTATTTGAAATGTTTCTGTCTTTTATAGGTAGATCTCTGTTGATATGAACTTCCCTCTCAGGACTGCCTTCGCGGTGTCCCATAGGTTTTGGACTGTTGTGCGTTCATCTTCAATTGTTTCCAGAAACTTTTTGAATTCTTCCTTGATCTCATTATTGACGCATTCATTGTTTAATAGCATGCTATTCAGGGTCCATGAGTTTGAATCTTTTTGAGTTTTTTCCTTGAGGTTGGTTTCTAGTTTCAAGCCCTTGTGGTCTGCAAAAATGCTTGTTATGATTTCAGTTTTCTCAAATTTCTTGAAGCTTGTTTTGTGCCCTATCATGTGGTCTATCTTTGAAAATGTTCCATGTGCCTTTGTAAAAAATGTGTATTTTGCTTCTTTTGGATGAAACATTCTATATATGTCAGGTAAGTCGATTTGATCTGATGGGTTGTTCAGTTCCACAATATCCTTTTTGATGTTTTGTTTGGAAGATCTATCCTTGTTGACAGTGAGGTGTTAAATTCCCCTACCGTAAGTGTGTTGCTTTCTATATCTTTCTTGAAGTCCTCCCAGATTTTCCTTATATATTTGGATGTTCCTATGTTGGGTGCATATAGGTTTTCAATATTCATGTCTTCTTGATGGATTCTTCCTTTGAGTATTATAAAGTATCCCCCTGGGTCTATTTTTATGACCTTTGTTTTGATACCTATTTTGTCTGATATAAGTATTGCTACCCCAGCTTTTTTTTTTTCCCT